CTCTCTCTCTCTCTCTCTCATATCCCGCTGCGATGCTTTGCGAGGTGAACGCGCAATATAATCTCGCGGTATATATACAAGAATGGTATCTCGAGGCGCGTTTCGATCGTGCGAGTCGCCCGGGAGTGTTTGGTCGTTCCGAAAATTGCGGACGATGAGCTCTCCGCGCGCGCCAGCACGCTCCATTGAGCCCGGCATCGTTTCCGGGTACGTTGTCCCGTCATCGGTGATCGGCTCGCAGTGCACGTCAGAGAAAATGCGCGAAACATATTATTTCGAGGAACAGTTGAGCGTAGACAGGCGAAGCAAGATCAGTCCGCGCGGGGGATGAGATCGACAGGCGGAAATCACGGTGGAGCCGGAGGGGAATGAGTGAGCAACGGACGGACCACCTTCCTCCGGGGAGGGAAGGGGAGGGGAGGAGGGAACGAGAAGTGAAGTAGTCGCGCACTTTACGAAATGAGATACACCCACGTCGATAAAACGCGACCACACCTATATGTACCGGGGATATAGCGCGGTTACGGGGGAGGGGGGAGGGAGATATAGCGACGGAATTAAGAACGGTGCCGCGAACCAACGCGGGCGGGCTGAAAGTAAGAATCCGCTGACGCGTTTAATCGCTCGCCGTTGCATTTCGCCGAGAGAGAAATGCACAATTCACCGCCACGGCATCGGTTAGAGGGGGGGAGGGGGCGAGTAATCGCAGGACCGTTTTATCGCCCTGGGGACTGCAGCACGTAGCTGTAGCTAGGATTTATAGGCGTCCAAAAACTCCTTATCTTCCTTTGTTAGAATGATGAATTCCTCGGATAGTCCGAGACATTGGATACACATCCGAGACATGTTTGCGTTGTGCGGATCGCGATTAATGAGAAGGGAAAAAAAACGTAAGAAACATTGAACGTGACACCTAATGGCCGTCCCCGGTATCGATTTCACCTTTCACCTTATATTAGTGTTTTAAGTTACAAACTACATAAATTAGAATGCCGTATGCGGTCTGCAGTAGATCTTGGTGCTTAATAATAATTGTAAATCTTTTTTACAATTTCCAGTTTATAAATATACTGCGCGCCGAATATTTGTCGGTCTTGAAACAGCTGCAAACTGAATCTGGACTACATAATATCGCAAATTAAATTTCGAGACGAGCAATTTAATAATTTTGACGCCAATGAGCATCTTATTAAATTCTGTAGAATAACTTATTGCGAAAAATGTTACCTCAGCCAGAATATTTCATATTAATGTTTTAAGTTACGTCAATCAATGACGAAGATATATATATATGAGAGAAATGCTGCAATCGCTGTATTTTTTAATATTGTGTGATGTATCATCAGTATTTTATCGGTAATTCATTGCGCTCGCATATCTTTTTTTCCGCGCTACGTTCGCCATCTTTATCAAATTTTTCATCGGTCGTTCTTATCCCTTTGCGAAGCGACCGTGCATCAACGTTTGCAGTTTCGGGATTTGCGAGCGAGCGGAGATTTGCGAATTTTTACCCGCTCTCGTTTCTAATCATCAATCGAGCGCACGGCGCAAAGGTAGAGCCGGTGGTCTTCACGGCGCGTTCCCCTTCCCCTCCCCCTCCCCTCGCTATTGATTTATCCCGACGACGATTAAATCCCGATCGTATCTCCCCGCCAAAAAGGACTTCTCGTGTTCGTCGAGACGCCTTCAGAAGCGCCGTGGCGTATGCTACACGCAAGTTGTAACAAACGATCCATATTTCATCGAGCGCTGAAAGGACCATTTTCCTCGCTCGCTTTTCCCTCCCTGCCCTCCCCGCTCTGTCCTTTCCCCGAAACGGCGAACGCGCACCCTCGCGCGCGCGACCGGTTTCCGCTTTTCTCTTCGCCCGTTCTCTCGCAATTTTCCGTCCGTCGAATAAACGCCGCGCGCGGGACGCTGGGATGCGGATCGTCGGCGAAATACATCCACGTGAAAATAAAAAATGTATGCCAATGCGCGCGGGGAGGGGGGAAGGAGGGATGAAGCCGAAACCGTTGTCGATCAATCGTATATCGCGCCGAATACCCCCCTCCCCTCTCGCAATCAATCCGCGGAAGACTCGGCGGCGCAGATTCGCGTTCCGTCAAAGTCTGTTTTCGTCGTTATACATTAGGAACGCGAGTGCAGTTTTCGAAGGAGCGGAGAGTACAATGCTCTCACGTGCTCCGGCGTTTCAAATTTATTACGTTAACTGTCGGTCGAAAATTTTTCATCAATTTTAATCGATACCACCGGATTCTCGGATTCTTGCAGCGCTCTCGAGGAGCCGTTATCTAATTGACGTGAGCCGAAATCGGATTAAGACACACTTTATCTTCTAATATAAAACGACAGAATTGTAGAGTGTATTGACGAATCTCTGACGGGTCTGACTGTCGTGAGAACGACAGAGAGCATTCGAGCAAAGGATAATTATAGGTATAATAACGATTTTAATAGCGGACTATCGAGAATATCGTATATCCAATAAGAACGCAATTCGACGTGCGGCGGTGATATAATAATACGTTTTCCTTCCATGGCATCTCTACAGTATAAGCTTTATTATCGCATTACGCTTTATCGAACGATTCATATCAATCGTACTAATTTTGGACAGCGGGTCAAACGTATGCGATATCTGGTGGAGCCCAGGCCGCCCTCTCGGCCGTCGTCGAGAGCATGCTGGAGGAGTGTATGCAGGACGCGAGGAACTTAGCCACGGAGGCTGGTAAGAGCTGCGTCACCCCCGAAGAAATGGAGAAGGCGTTGAGGAAGCTCTGCCTGCGTTTAAACGCGCAGCCGAGCACGCCGAGCAAACAGAAAGTTAACACGCAGAGCGAAGACGTCTGAACCGAGAGTTTGGCGAAATCTTCCCGTGGAGATGTCTTCACGGCGCCAAACAATTCAAATGTCGGGAGAAAGAGAGGGAGAAAGAGGGAGAGAGTAAGAGGACTTCTTGTGCCATCGTCTATATCGCTAATAAATGTCGAATTGTACGAAAGTGCGAATTGTTCGCGAACAGTGTCTCTGTTCCATTGTCCTTCGTTCATAATATTCATCGTGGCGCTTATTCGTATCGCGAATACTCTGCGCTTGAGAAAATTAAGAAAAGTAATTTGCATTTGCGAAACGCGTAAAGGACACTGCAGTATAATAGATAATTGGATTCTCGTTTAAATAAATAAATTGAAAAAAAAAGGAACACATGGCGGCAACTTAAAAAGTCGCAATTCTTCTCGCGTGATAATGCATAATAAAAAAACAAAAACATGTCATCTCACGTGACGCAATTTCATCATATCCAAACTCATTGTTAGTATAATATTATACAATTGGAGAAACTGTCACAGGTTTCGAGAGATATCGAGAGGCTAATATATCTCTCGCAACACGTGTCGCGATTGTTTTAATACGTAACAAGCACGTATCCATCAATAACAATTATTTGTTCCGCCTTTGACTTTGATTGAAATTCCTCTCATTTAATGTGACGAATCGCGTCACGAGGGCCCTTCCGTGTTCATTCGCGCTGGAGAGCGGCCATCGTGACAATGGTCAAGCAGTTGTTGCGAATTTGCTGGCAATCCGTGCTGCAAAGCGCTTCTCGCGTGACTGGGAAAATTCATTAAACGACGCGCGATAAACTAAAAATAATCCCCCGTCCGGGCATTGTCGGGCGGTTAATGAACGGGATATGTGTACACTACTTCTATTTCTTTTTTTTTCGCGGTCGCGTATATTTTTCACGTCTCGTCGATCCTGCGGTCGTCTCGCCGACAAATGGGTATTCATGCGAAAGGTGAAACTTCTCTCGTCCGCTTCAACGTAACGAAATATACCTTCATTTTCGGGGATAAAACTCCATTGTAAGTGAGCGCCGCGTAAATTCGAAAACAAAGGAATAATGATGTGATATTATACGATATTCACATTAACGTACGCTGCTTTGCGCATGGAATTTCGCGTGGAGAACATCACACACGCTGCTTTCGAGATCGTGTGTATAGCTTTCGCTTACACGATACCTAATTGACAAACTTCGCACAAATACAGCAATATTTTTAGTTTCTCTTTTTATTAACTTTATATTATATATGTATTTCTCATTGCCTGAAACTATCGCATCTTCTTCTCTTATTTTCCTTTCTTTCATTTTTTGTAAATACGGTTTTTTTTATATAAATAAGTATCTTTAAATTTTTTCTTTTTCTATGACTTTGTTCTAATTGTACTTAGAGAGCTTGTCCTAAAACACTAATAAATGTTTTATCTATCTACCTATCTAGCTTCAGCGACATGTGTCATCAAAGGCTGAGCATTCTTTTCATTATATACACAACCGAAACCAACAGAAATCCGATCTGACGAGTGTACAACACGGACGTTATTGCGGCGGTGAGCCAAAGCAAAGCACGACTCTCAGACGGCACACTTGACTGGCATGTCATCAAAGTTTTCCGTGTGTAGCCTGACTCTAATAAAAGTCATCCGAAAGAACGTTCTCAATCCGCCCCGCGCTCCGGAAACCGTTCTTTGAAATTATGTCTCACTAATGACGTTGCGCGCGACCTCTCCGGACGACGGTATTCTTAGATTGAAGCCTCGGCTGTGGATTCAGCCTCAAGATGCCGTTTTGTTCACGTCATTCCGACGGCGCCGCGGCCAAGGGAGCGCTGGTCCCTTTCCGACGTGTCTCGCGCAAAGGAAAAAAAAAAACCAGCGGCGCCCGCGGAATATCTCCGTCCGACAGACGCGCGAGGCTCAATATTTTACGGGCGGATCCACGTGAAATAATTGGGACGCGTTAACAATGGACTCGGTCCTTCCTACTTTTTTTTTTTGTTCGTTTGTCTTGTTTTCGTTTCCTCCCCGCCCGTGTTTTTTTCCCTTCCCTCCTTTTTTTTCCATTTCGACGCGTCGCGATCGAAAAGTTAATAGATACGTGAAATGGCGCGCGATATTCGTTACCGTGCCGCGCCGATTTTATTTGTAACTCGAAAATTCGCTGTTTCATAAAACGAGATTCGCCAGATATGTACGTACCTGAAGCCGCGCGCGCTCCGGCCGGAAAATATTTTTTTCCGTGACAGCTCCGCGGGAACGACAAAAAAAAAGAGAGAGGGAGAAGAGAGAGAAAAACGATGGATGGGACGGGGCGGCTCCGGTGATAATCAATCGAAAAATGATTTCGAATGGCGTAACGGACCGGTCGCCGCGTCATAAATCTCGAAACCTAGCGATTAAGCAGATATGTCCACCTGCCAAAGCGAATATTCACGATTTTTGATATACGGGGACGAATCTGGAATACAATTACGTGCAGCGTGTGTCGAAGCGTGCAACTTGGAAACTCTTTCTGATCCGATCCGTTGTCTAAGCATCGCCGAACAATGTCGCGATGCAGTCGGCAAACTGAATATTCCAATGCGATAAAAATTTATTTAAATAAATGTGCAAATTAATAGACGATTCTTTATCTCTCTCCGGCGCGGGCGCTGCAATATCTCATGCAGTATCTTCGCTGCGATTGCAACTTTTCGTAATTCCATGCATTCAGATGTTATCGTTTCCCGGGGATAAGAGAATAATTGTTAGCTTTCGCCGTAGCGTATCTCTATCGCCACACCGTGGCTTTTGTCAATATTTTATAAATCATAAATATTTTGTACATTATTCAACGATTACTTTTCGTTTGGATTATACATACATAGTGTACATATATAGAAGATAATTTCTCGTCTGAAATTGCTTCATGGGAAAATAACATACATGCGAAACGTTCATCGATGGAAAATAATTTCTCCTCCGCGCTATAGAAAAAGGCGCAGATTGGAAAGGCATTTAATAAACGAGTAGTTACGAATTTATAGATGTTGAATATTCATTCGTATCCTCTTCTATGGCGTGTTTAATATTTCGTAAATCAATTTAAGTCAGTATTTTAATTATTGGCCCTAGAGAAACAGAGAGAAAGGGGAAAAGAGAGAGAACGTTTTACACGAGAGGAATATTCAATGGACAAAGAAATTATGTATCGTACTGGTGGTCCGTTCGAAACCAAGAAAACAAATTAATTTCGGGCCTTTTGTCGGAAAGCCCTGCGTGTCGTGCGTGTCCCGCCTTTTCGAGGCGGTCTGTCATAATAATAATAGCTATCCAATTCTGTGATCTAATCCTAATTGAACCTTAATTAAATAATTCTTCTACCAGTGCATTTATCAAGAAAACGGAATAAAATGTGAACGAAAAGATGTAAAAAAAAAATCAAACGCGTAGTTTAATACGCCTATAATTCATGTTCTGCGTATTCGAGGCTCTGCTTAAAATAACAATGTCAGTGTAATACAGTTCCATTACTCTAATCTACATTTGGAAGTTAGTATTGAATGAACGCGAATATAATATAGGAATGAAAAAAAATAAAAAGAGAAAAAATTTATATTGCAAAAATTTTTTTCTCCTATCTCTATAATTAATTCAATATGTTATGATTCAATAAATTTAATACAATTAACGAGTCGTTTGTAAAATATTTATCCCAATATTGCTAACAAAATTAATTAAAATTCATATGAAAATTGAAGTAACTTGGAAATCTCTTCTATATTTGAGAGTAGATTTTCTCTCGTTTTTACAAATCTATTTTTCCGAAAATATTTACTTAATCTGAAAATATTTACATTTATTATCTGTATATATTTATTTATTATCTCTATTATAAGTATGAACATCTTTTTATTTAAGTCAAAAATTTTTAAATTAACAGATTTCTCTTACAAATAAAGTTCTTTTTCTTTATTCTATTTTCTTTAGTTAGGAATTTCGATTTCGTCATCGCTTGCACGGCGCAAGATTGGTCGTGTCTCAAAGACACCGAGGTGGTCCGCGTCCGTGACCGGAATTAACAAATTAACGCGCAGGCGTTCCGCCGGGAATTAGTTCGTTCTCTCTCTATCTCTCTCTTTCTCTCTCTCTCTCTCTCTCTCTCGCCACGTTGACGAAACGGGTCCCGTCAGGTCCCTCTACCGTTCGTAATTTCTCGCGCGCATCGCGTAAAATAATAACTTTATGACGCGACGCTCCAAAATGAAACGGGGCCGGGCCGCGTGAGCGAAAGAAAGGACCGTGGGATAAGGAGGGACCTGCGAACGCGGCGTACGATGGTGAGAAAGGACAGAGAGACGGAGGGAGATATAAAAGGTGAGCTCTGAAGGGAAGAGGAGAAAGAGCGAAAGAGAGAGAGAGAGAGTGAGAGGAGGGGGAGGGAGAGGAATCGCGGCACGAAACGAAAGAATGGAAACTAAAATAGTCCCCGCGACTCGAAACGAAGGAAAAACTCATTCCGTCTGCTCGCTCGCAGCCCTGAGCTGCCTCTATTGAGAGACGGCCAACTATTGTGTAGTTCGCGGTAACCACGGACCACCGTCGTTCGTTTCTTGTTCCCCCTCACGCCCCTCCCACTCCCCCCCCCCGCCGCCTACTTATCCCTTCACCCGCTCGGTCCTCTTCTCGGTCCTTTCTTTCGAAACCACCGCGGAATCCACCACCTCGCTCGGTCGCGCGCACCCCCTCCGTATACGTCATTTCTTTTTGTTCCGACGCGGTCGCGCTGCGAAACGACGCGACGGACCGTCGAAATGACGGTGTCCTTCTTCCCGTTGCTCCGCGATTATGCGCTGCAGAGCGTTCCTCCCTAGATTTCGCGAGGGGGGGGGGGAGAGAAGACGGCACCGTCTCGAGATATCTTGCTGCAAGTCGGTCAAATCGCGTACGTTTCCCAAACGCGAGACTCACGCGTCAGTTATTAAGGACGCGGAAATGCGACACGTTTGTTCGTCGCGAGTAGTTTTTGTTCCCTCAGGTAGAGAAGTGTTAGATAAATGAAGATGAGAAAAGCGAACAAAATGCCTCGGGTTTCTTCAGCTTCCATCGTCACGTTCTTCATAGTGTTCCTTTTCGCCATTCGCGTTATTAAATCAGTATCATCGTAGCCTGACGGCGAGGTTGGCGATGCCGGAGGGGAATGAGAAAGCTGAAGGTGAGGGGGAGGGACTGCCTAGCGTCGTCTCGCGCGAATTTCGACCTAAGTTTCTCGTAATGAGATAGCTCGACTCGAGAAGTTATCGTCGTGGGTCGGTTCCGATGAACGATGCATCCGTACTTTCCTCGGAAACTCCGCCGAAGCCACGCTTGAAACTAACGCGACGCGAACAGGGATTCGTAAAAATCGGAAGCGAATGAAAATCCGCTATGCTTTCCGCCGTTATAGACTGATAAAGTCACTTTGGAGAGGACATTAAAAAGGAGATCTCGATTATATTGCAATTATCGTAATTTGACAGTGACATGTATTCTCTGTCGGTTTGTTCGATTGTTAAAAATAGCAATGAAACTGCGACATATTAAAATTCTCCTTACAAATAATTCTGTTCTACGATCTTGTTACATTAATTTCTGTTCCTCATAATGTGATTTATTTCGTGGACATTAAAGAAAGTGCAGCTCGAAAGGACCCCTCACGAAACTAGTGGAAATTGGCTTTCTATGGAATTGGCTAAATTTTTAGTATGTTGAAGATGTTGACACTCTGCAAAGTAAAAGTCTCCTCGGACAAAACTTCGAAAAAAATGGCTAGTTTTTGAAATATGACATGTCAAAACTATTCAATTTTTGTCATTTATGAAGCTGGAAAATGTAACACACATGTTTTGTGCGAGCGCGCGTATGTGTGTGTTGTGTGTGCGCGTGTGTATTTGCATACTACAAGTATTTGTATATAAATGACAAAAATTGGCTAATTTTGACAAGTCATATCTCAAAAACCAGCCATTTTTGGAAGTTGTGCCCAAGAAGATTTTTATTCAGGATGTCGCAACATTTTCAACATACTAAAAATTCAACCGATTCCACCGAAAGTCAATTTCCACTATAGTTTTGTGAGGGATCCTTTGTCGATGCAAGCAGGAAAGCGGAGTAACGAAAATTTGCTCTGCATTCTCTGCAATCGAATACAAAATTATCAATTCGCAGCACGATATTCTAGCGGCGAGTTCTGGTGCTGGTTACACCGCGCGCCGTTTCCATTTCGGCACGGAATTTCAGGCGAGACCTTGATAGGAGAAACAACGCAATTATCGGAAATGGAAAGCGGATTCATCTTCAATTTAAGAAAACTCGATATCTCGGTGAACAATAGATGAGGGAAGCCCCGAATGCTGAACGTCAAGACTGAACCGTCATCCGATAAATCAATAACAATAAGATGGGGATTGAGATTGGTGTTGGGATATCATGCATTATATAAGCTGTCTCACGCTTGTATAATAGATGCAAGACGATGATATCGCTGGAAATTGATACCACACGTGTCCCCGCAACAGCTCAATAAATTAGCAGCGGTCCCCGTTTCGGTTCGCCGATTCTCGCAAACGTCACCTTCGATTTGCCCGAGCATCTCTCCCGCGCCCCGGCGGAGAATAACGCATTCCCCGTCGAGCATCAGAATTCCGTCGAATTCTCTAACCTGATTTCACGGGGAGGTTCTTTTTTTTCCCTACAAGCAGGATATTCCCATAGTTTACTCTCGCATTAACGAAGCGCTGTCATCGACTCGCGTCGCCGTCGGACTTTTAATTTCCCGACGGGATTCTAAAAACTTCTCCCCCGCCCCCTCAGGGTAGGAAGGGCTTCTTCGACAATTCCGAGCTGCGAGCTGGCTTCGGTGCGGCCGAGGGTTGTTCACGGTGAATGGCGGGGAAGCGGCGAGGGGGGAAGCGAGGAGTATCAGGGGCGGGGAGGAGGGGGGGGACGTGATAAAAGGAAGCGTCTGCGAATCCCGTGGAAAATAATCTCCACGGCGAGAGAAACGTCGCGCGCGATAGAATTTAGTTTGATAATTCCTAGTTGTAGTGGCGTTTCGGATCTCAAGATGGATGCGCCGTAATATCGTCCCAGTGCCGCGTGCATAATGCAATGCGGGGGGAAAAGG